CAGTCCACAAGATTGAGGTGAGTTCCAACCAAATCCCCTTCAGATATTTTTGGGATTCCTTTAGGCATGTGAATTTGTTCTGACTTGGTTGTCATGTTTATCTCCTTCCCGACTGCTATTATCTGTTGCTATCTCATAGCTGCTTCTCCACGTAGTGGAGGCTCTTACTCTGGTTTACCCAAAGAATGGATACAGCCCCTTTCTTAATTCTCCCAAAGCCGAGTTGATAACAGGCTGTCATGTGAGCAAATCTGATTCATGACTTCAGGATGACATAAGGCAATTACTTTGAAAGAAATTTTAAAACAGAATATTGGCCTTCCAGTTCTCAGACACCGCCAACCCTGGCCCTTCAGAGCCCCTTGCTAACCAGTTTTCTCCTTTCTATCAGACTAATGGTCAATTTTCTTAAGAACGTCTTATTGAAACAAAACAAGCCTTCCAGACCTTATGTTAGCTTCTAGTGGATTCTTTACACTTCTTCCACCTAGTTCCTTGAAATTGTAGTCTATATGAAATATTCACTCCACACACAACTATAGTTTAACTTCTGCCCCTACCTGGCCTCTGGCTGTCCCTCTGGTGATGTCAAAGATGCCCTTGCTCCTAGGCCCATGCTTCCATCCTTAACATTCTTCACCTCTTTTGAGTCGGACATGAACCATGCTCTTTGTTCTCGCTGCACCTCTTGCTTCCCTACAGACTCAGTGTCTCACGCAGCCATAGAAGAAAAGCCAGTAAAGACCATCACAATCTGTCTTCAGAGAGGTAATTCACCCCACAAAGATGATAAACTTCCTTGCTTAATAATGTAAAAATCTAACTAAGTGGTTTTCAAACTGTGGGTTGCGACCAATTTTGGGGTTGTGAAAGCAATTCAGTGAGTTGCAAGGCTCACGTAAGCAAAGTGGAATCAGAGACCAACAGAGCACATCCCATACAGTAAAGCTAGGTGTGCTGTACCCGGTATATGCAAATGTGTGTTCACAGGGTGCTGATGATAAATGTATTTCTTATTGTAGGTTTAGTCAGAAAAGTAAAATAGGCACTGATTTGGGTCTTTGTGAAGTTAACTGCAATATTCCAGAATAGAACCTAAACTTTAATTTGGGGGAAAAAAACCCCAAAACCTATAATGGGCCTATTGATTACGAAGAGATAAAGAATAGTGTTTATTCTAAAATAAGAATTCTGTTGTCACTCCTAGAGCAACTGGTGAAATTCAGGCAGCTTTGAAAATGTTATTTGCCCCAACTAAAGGGACTTCCAAGGTTCCTCATGGTCTGGTCCCTGCTCACCTCTCTGACCTCATTTCCCCCACCTCCTACTTTGTAACAGGCACTGCAGTCACACCAAGGCCTTCGTGTCCTGCAACCACAGCGCTCTCTTTGGCCTCTGGCCCTGGAATGCACCCTTCTGTGATGGGGATACTCAGGCTCCCCTCACAGCTCGCCTGCTGAAAGCCTTCATCATCCGCGCTATCCAGGCTGAGAGGCCACTCTTTCTAGGGCGCCTTCTCAGATTCCAAGCCTAGTTGTTATTGGATCCCCAAAATGGGCCCCTGTGCACGGGGTCTGCATGAGCAATTCGTGAGGCTGACTAGAACAGTGCATCTGCCCATTTGTATTATTGCACCCCTCTCTGCAGGAGTCTTTTAAGACATTTTTCATCTAATTTCTCCTCGCTCTCTCCCATGAAATTTTAATACAGGTATACTTTGTGTTTGTTTGCGTACTGTGGTCCTCTGTCTGGAGGACCACAATCCATTATCAAATAGCTAAGATTTTATATATTCCCATCCCCTCACAGCCCAGCTCCTTAAATCTGCAGCCCAGTGGTCACTCTCCACGCTGTGGCTATAAAACTCCTGCCTTACAGCCTGGTTGCTAAATTCGTACTTGAGCCTTATCTTCCTTAAGCCCTTCAACATTTGACCTAAGCCTCTCATCAGGAAAGAATGCAAACTATTTTTTTTCTTAGCCTTCTCAAGAGGAAAAGTAGAATGTTCTCTTATTCTATTCCATGCATTCTCACTTGGGTGATATCGCCTTCATGGGGGCCAAAATTAATTCTCATGGAGCAAAAAAATAAAAGCTTCTCTCCCATCTGAGATGTCTGGATATGAATGCAGAAGGCTTCAAGGGAGGCACCTCATCTGGGAGAGTGAGGCCTGGACACAAGGGAAGGCCTGAGGAGAGGAAGAAGTTTGCACCTCCACTTTGGAGAAATAGGAGAAGCTGGCCAAAGAACACAGGAGATGGCCAAGCTGCAATGAGGGCCAGCAAAATTGGTAGCAGTATAATTTTTTCCCTCTATCACTTTCCAGGGGCTATCTTAGGTGCTGGGGATACATAGAGTGAACACGGAATTTCTGGCCTCAAAGCGCCACTGTCTGCCTTCCCCAACTGGAATATAAATCCATACATATGGTAGATGCTGATAACAGCGATGAAGATAAGATAGCGCTCTGTGATGGAGGACTCTCACTGGATGGTCAGGAAGGAGGAGAAACCTGCTTAAGTGGTGACACTGGCCCACAAGCCTGAATGGTAGACAGCAGCAACCTTGAGACATTCTGGGGGTGGAGCTTTCAAAGCAAAAGGGATTCCACATGCAAAGGCCCAAGGAAGAAGCAAGCTTGTGTATTCGAGGACAGACAGGAGGCCCATGTAGCTGACTCCTAGGATCAAGGGAGAGAGGTGGGGAGGGGGTCAGCAGGGACCATGTAAAAGGATCCTGAAGTCCATGGTCAGGATTTTGGATTTCATTCTGATTACAAGGAGAGGCTTCTGATTGGCTTTTAAGCAAGGGAAAGACATAATCTAAACTGTGCTCTGAAACAGCTGCTGTGGTTACATTGTGGAGGATGGACAGATAGACAGGAGTGGGGGCAAGGAGACCCATTCAGAAGCCTGGCAAATTCTTGAAAAGAAGAAAGGGTTGAGGTTGTTGATGGGGAGGAGGAAGGCAGTTCAGGTGTAGGGTTAGGCCCAAAGGGCAGTTTGGGGAAATGGACAGACGTACAAGTCTCAGAAACGTGGACACTCCATTTCAGCCTCAGCAAGTCACTCACATAGTCACACAGGCAAATGACACTCTTATCTAGTCCTCCTGGCCTGTTTTAGAGGCCCCTGGAGGCGAGAAACGGGATACATTTTTCTCTTCTTATCCTGACAGCATCTTTAGAGCAATTTTTTAGAGCAGGGGTTGGCGGGGACAGAGGGATGACTGCGCAGAGCATGGGGGATTTTTAGGGCAGTGCAACTACTCTGAACAAGTACTGTAATAGAGAGTACATGTCATATACATTTTCCCAAAGCCACAAAATATCTGACACCGACAGTGAGCCACCGTGTCACCGCAGGTTCACCAGTTGTAAAAAATGTACATGCCAGTGGGGAATGTTGGTAACAGGGGAAGCTGCACAAGTATGGAGACAGCAGGTGTATGGAAAAATCTCTGTCCCTTCTCAGTTTTGCTGGGAACTCTTTCTAGTATTTTAAAGCTAATCCTTAAAATCTTATCTATTTCCTGCTACTGGCCAGTGAGTTGTATTCTTGTTACCATTCAGAGCACGACTGGTGAACACATCTGTCAATATTTTATGAGCCAGAGGACATTAACATTATTTAACAGGGTACACTTTTCCCTTGAGGGCCACCAACCTGTAAAGTGCAGGTCAAAAAAGCTGAGAGTGAAGCACATTCTTATGTCATGTTCTTAAGTCTATATACCAAGATGTCCACAGACTAACAGAGTAATTAAAAAGGAGCTAAAGGAGACTGTTCCTTTGTGTTTTCTGGTTCTTACTTTTTATAGACATTTTTATTTCATTCTAAGAAAATGAATTTTTTTTTAAGAAAGTGGTTTCCAGTTTACCCATTCTAGAAAATTCTTGGATGGAGAGGAGGTTTTCTTCATTTCAAACCATCTTGTGAGTATGTGCACTGCACACACACACTATAGAAATAAAAAGCACAGACATGTTTATAGTGAAAAGCAAGTCTCCTCCCTGCCTCCCCAGCTCTCTGTTGCCATCTCAGGAGGCCACTGCTCTTCCCAGTGACATGGCTTTCAGAGAGATTCTATTTATATAAGCAAATACCGACTTATAAAAAAGTATAAATAGTAGCATATTATTTGCTGTTCTGGACGTTTCTTTTTTTTACTTAATGTGTTTTGGAGATCCTTCTGTAGCAGTGCATAAATAGTTGTCTACTTTTTAAATATAAGTTTAATATAAAGGGCATTATAGTTAAGAAATTACATGTAATTTATTTTTGCCAATTCAATAGCAGAGCTTCTGCTAGATTAATCTTTGGTTTTCTGGGCTTTAATATCAAATAGCTTAAAGCTTTAACATCTTTCTCTCCCCTGTGGTTTTCTTTTCATTATGAAGATTCCCCATTCTATGTTCCCCCATCCTCATCCCTCATTCTGAGGTTTGACATCATTATCTACTTAGTTGTCTGATTTCATTTTTGATGAGTCAAATACAATAAACCCTGACAGATATGCCTCAGATGTCCCTTAAGGACAAAAGTTTAAATAAAAAAAAAATATATATATATATATAAGACAGAGGGCTGAGGGTCTGATGAATATTTGAGATTTGAATACGTATGGGTATTTTGATTCCTAATCAGTTTCAGTTAAATTCATTTATCCCCAGCTTTGCACCTGGAGACTGTGATAAAAGCAGTCTTATTCATATTATAAAATGAGTGCACATCTCTGGAGTGTTCTAAGAAGTCATAGTTCCTTAGATCACTGTAGTTCACAAGGACAGAACACTCAGGTATTTTTCAAATACTATTTCTGATTTTAACTGTCTTTTTCTTTTGAGGTAAGCAAGGCAGATACATTGGCCAACGGTAACTAAGAACGTAAGGCCACTCCTCGACTGGGCAGCCTGAGCCGGCTGTGTGCCAGATGCAACTATGAAACATGCCCTATAAATAGCTGTTCATTGTCAGAGTGTGTGAAAAGACAAGAGTGAGTGTGTGGTGGTATGATTCAGGCATAATTAAGTGGCTGCATCTGCGCAGAGTTCTAAGCAAATAGCTGTTCCAACTGATAATCCAGTCAGTAGGGAACTGCAGGGGTTCACCACTGATTGAGCATAGACTGAAGGGAAGCTGTTCGATGCTGGTTTGGCCTCCACTATGGCAAAAATCATTTTGAGGCACCTTATAGAGACTCCAGTGCGTTATGAAGAGGAGTTTGAAGCTCGAGGTTTGGAAGCCTGCAGACTGGATCATGCTTTATATGCACTGCCTGGGCCAAGCACTGTGGACCTGGGGAAAGCAAGGGCACCTGGGGCTCCCACACTGGACTCAGCAGCAGAGGTGCCACCCCGGGAAGGGGAAGCCCGCTTCCAGATCCTGCTGGATGTGGTCCAGTTCCTCCCTGAAGACATCATCATTCAGACCTTTGAAGGCTGGCTGCTGATTAAGGCTCAACATGGAACCAGAATGGACGAGCATGGTTTTATCTCAAGAAGCTTCACCCGACAATATAAACTGCCAGATGGCATTGAAACCAAAGATTTGTCTGCGACTCTCTGTCACGATGGCATTCTGGTGGTAGAAGTAAAGGATCCAGCTGGGACTGAATCGGTTCCTGTTCATTCACCATGAGGAAGATTACAGTTCAGCCAGTGGTACCAGGGAATGTTCGTATTGTCCATGTTTGAAATGATTTTTATGAAAATTAAAAATATAGACATAGTTCCTGGTATGTTGAGGTTGTCCCTGTTGTTCTTACTCAGATGAGAAAATTGTTAAATATCCTATAGCTCAAAGTGATGATATTCTGAAACCTGAAACACGGACACCTTAGGAGACTAGTTTGATACTAGAAAGGACTCAGAAGTATGTCGTTACCCAGCAGTGCCAGAGAAGCTGCATCTGTAATAAATGACAGATGGCAAAAGAGCCATACTAACTTGCAGAATTCTTATCCATTTCATGAAAATTTTTTGTACTGCTAAAACAAGTTGTGATGCCTTTCACTTGACAAGCATTTCTCCTCAGCGTATTTTATTTAAAGTAGAACTTTGTAAATATAGAGTCTGGAGGTTAAAATAGAGGATTTGGAAATTGGGTCTGAAATATATTTAGGATGCACTACAGTTGTTACTTCCTTAAATGTATGTTGGAATTCCTTAGCTCTAAACTTTATTTTTAAAAGTTTCCAAATATGTATCTTATTTTTTGAAAGCTAAACTGAATGCTGTTTGAATGTATTTTAAAAAACAACATATGTTCTATGGATACTTATGAAATATTGATATGATGTGTGTTAACTCATATTCTTATAAGTTAATATTAAGTTTACAAAGCCACTTTAAAAAGTACAACTACTGAATTCAAAGAGTTTTAATCTGTGCTCTTTAGATGCTGCAACTTAAAATTTTAGATTTTGCAAGATGGCAAAATGCAATGTGCCTGCTCTCTGTGCATAATGCTTAGCTTTAAATAGCCTGGCAGATAGTGGAAGCTGAGAGGTTATACAGCCTGCTGCTGAGTGCTGTTTGTCTTCTAACTGCTGCCTCCCCTCAGCAGAAGGACCGAGACATTGGTGAAGGTTAAGGCTTTGCTTTAGGAATGGTGTCTTCAACAGCTGGTCTGTGACACTCCAAAGATTTTCTGTCTCATTCTGCACACACTAGATACTTCTGAGGAGGAAGTGGCTGCTTTTGCCCCACACCCCATGAGAGCCGGTGAGTCCGAAGACAGCACTATGAATAGAGAAGGCTGGGTGTGGAAAACATCAGAGTAGATGCAGACTGCTGGCAATGCCACTACGCTCCTCTGGAGAGCTTCATTTGTAGTTCAAGTGCAACATGAAAGTCAAGAAGCAATAGTTGAAAAAGAAATCAAAAAGTTACAAAAGCAGTTCTCAAAACAAATGTGATTTGAGAAAGATGTTTGTTTATAGTATAATTAAATTGAGAGGATTGTAAAGCTATCTGCTAATGCTTATTTACCTGGATTTGTCCATCTAACTCAGACAAGAAAGTTTGTTTGACAAAGTGATTATCACACACCACCTCTGCTACATTACAAAATTAATACTAATTAGTGGGGTAACATCTGCTGATATGATTAGAAGTGGGATACCGTTTGTCCCATGACATCTTTATCAGCGATTGGCAGGATAGTAGAAAACTAACGAGAGCTTTGGGATACTAGGAAACATAAAACCCCTTTCATTTGGCCTTGATCTTACTCTAGATGAAGTACTACTTCTGGAAAAGTCCAAGAAGTGAAATTTTTACCTCAAGGAGCCACTGATAGGTTTTCGAGGAAACTTACATCTTTTAAAAATGAAAACTAAAATAAACACATCATCCAATTAGGATGTATTTTTTTCTTAAGATGAATTTAAAGTCATACACAGACATTTTTTGATTTGGAAAATATACCAAACACTGTAAAATACAAAAACCATTTATTATTCCTCTATTACCATGACATAGCTACTTTAAATTTCTAATTCAGCCTTCTCTTATACATAAATACATCTCACTTTTTTGCAAAATTAGTACTATATCTGCATGGCGTTTGATATCCCAATTGTATCGGTTATTTTCTGCTGCCTTCCCTGCCTCCCACCAATCCAAACCCATCCTCCCTCTGCCCTCCTCGGCTCCACTCTGAGCCCAAGCAGGTTGACCCCGACGGGCCATGTCAATCGTGTTTCCAGTTGGGTTCAGCCAATAGGAGGCATGGACTGGAGACAAGATTGGAGGGAGAAGATGGTGGGCAGGAGGGGAGAAAGGTCAGGGCATTTCTTTCCCCACTGCCAGCCCACTGCAGAGGCTTGACCAGGCCTGTGTCCCTCCATGACTAGAGCTTTGGAGAGATGGCCAGTCTTCCATGACTCCGGCTTGTACTAGGTTCTAGTGCAGAAACACCGTTTCTTCCTTTTGCCTCTTCAGCAGTTGGGGTGGTAGTGTTTTCTGCCCATTCTTTTCCCTCGTATTTACCAATCTCTGTTCCCTTTACTTTGCTTGCTCTCCCACAAATGATCTCTCATCAAAGTCCCTTTCAGGTGATGAAACTCTGTTTCCTGCCAGAACTCTGACTACTTGACTTCTTAAGTACTTAAAATAAAAACCTGTACATCACTTGCTTTTGCTGCCGAACATGAACTGATTTCTAGGGCTATGCACTATTCCAGCACAGATAAACCGTATTACAATTTAACCATTCCTTTCACTACCAGTCCCAAGGGAAACAGATGGCACTCTCAAATTAGAATGATTTATTTATAAAGAGATTAATTACAAAGGCATGGGCAGGGTGGAAAGGAGCTGCAAGGGATAGTGTGTAACCTGAGGGTAGGAGTATGGAGCTATTATGTCCCCTAGGGCCAAAGGGCTGAGAGGAGGAAGCAGGTCTCAGAAACCAAAAAGAAAGTTGGGTAGAGGTGGCCATCAGCTGTGACTTTCATGACAGCAGACACAACCAGCCCATGGTGACCTCTCACAGGCACCAGGAGACTAAGTACTTTCTCCCTCCAATCTCCTACCAGGGTATCCCATTGGTGGGACCTTACTGGTAGCCAGAGGGTGTGGGCTCCTGGTTGATGTATCTCAACCACCTCCCAGGGCAGAAGGCAGGGTGGAGAAAAAGTGGAGAGTGACTCCTGGGAGCAAGAGGAAATATCCAGCATGCCAGGAAAGTGAGTACTCTTGTTACAGCCCTCTCTTAGGAAACCTTTTCTACAAAATATTGCCTGAGACAAGGATTGAAGTGCTGACACTTTATTTGGGAAGTTCAAGCCTGGGATTGAGGATGGCCAAAAATTCTTAGACTCCACCTCTTGACAAGAGGAGTGGCAATTTGTTTTCCCCTTGAATGTGGACTGGCCTTGTGACCCACTTTGACCAACTGAATGAGACGGAAGTGGTTCTATATAACTTGAGGCTGAGTCTGAAGAGACTTAAAGCTTCCATTTTCATACCCTTCTGAGCACTCCTTTTAGAACCCAAACCACATGGAGGAGCCCCTTGGAGAACCAGGCTAACAGTTCAGCTAAGCTCGCAGCCAAATAGCCAGCACCAGCTACCAGCTGTAAGAGTGATCTCTCTTTGACAATCCAGCCCAGTTCAGCCTCCAGATGAGACCACATGGAGCAGAAGGACTGTCCAACTGTGCCCAGCCCACACAAAGACTCATGAAAATAAGTGACTGGTGTTGTTTCAAGCCACCAAGATTTGGGTAGTTTGTTCTCCACAAGAGATAATCAAAGATGCACAATGACTTCTAATTACTTAGGTATCTTCTCAGAACAAGAATACAGTAGTCCTCCCTTATACGCAGTTTCACTTTGATGGTTTCAGTTACTTGCAGTGAGCTGATATCTGGAAACAGATAGTTCTCCTGACATGTACTTAGAATGTAGTTAGAATGCTAATCAAGAGTAGTCTAATGCTATGTCATGATGCCTGTATCATTCACCTCACCTCATCTCATCCCATAGGCATTTTATCATCTCACATCATCACAAGCAGAAGGGTAAATACAATAAGACATTTTGAGAATATCACATTCACATAACTTTGATTACAGTATATTGTTATAGTTGTTTTTATTATTGTTATTAATCTGTTACTGTGCCTTATTTATAAATTAAACTTTATCATAGGTATATATGTACAGGAAGAAACAATGTATGTAGGGTTCTGTCTGTGGTTTCAGGCATCCACCAGAATGTGTCCTCTGTGGATAAGAGTGGACTATAGCATATGGCTAGTAGTTCCTTTGTTTATGTTTCAAAGAAACCTCCTTGTATTATCTAGTAATATATATTGAGTTTCTATATTGGAGAACTAATTAGAATTTGTACATACCTCTTAATAGAATCCATTTCAAAATACATCTAAATAAAAAACTCTTTATATTTGATATATATTCCCAGTTTTCAAAGCTACTCTTCCCAATATGTTTCATCAGAGCTTCAGAATATTTAGGAGCTATTCTACCAAATGGTAAAACATATTATCATGCTACAATAATTAAAGCACTGTGTAATTGCACAGGAGCAGATCAATGGAACAGAGTAGAAAACACTGAACAGATGCCCATTATAAAAATTTAGTTATAATAAATAGGAAAATTATTCAATATATGCCTCTAAGATAGTTGCAGAGGTATCTAGAAAAATTAAATTAAAAGCTTATCTCTATTACATATTAAATACCAAAAAGAAAAATTGTAAGTGAGCTTAAAAGGTAAATGTGAAAACCAAAAAAGCCATAAGTATCAACTGTGTGGTTATTCTTCATTCTCTGCCTTTCCCTGACTTGTTCTGTGCCCCAGGGGCTTGCTCTCCGGTTTCAGGTTGGAGTCACCCAATGGAAGGCATCAGCAAGAGAGCAGCAAGGAGAAGGAAAGAGATCGGGGTATTTTTTTCTCTGACTCTTGCTGCTTTGGTTCCAGGTCCTGGCAGGGGCTGCCTCCCTCTGACTGCAGCTCTCAGTAACATAAATGGAAATATTTATGAATTAAATATTTGTGATTTTTTTAGTGTATGTTTGAGACTAAAAAGTATGATATTTAGTGTTGATGTGGTAAAACAATACCTATTTGCTGCTGGTTTGTATCATAAATCAGTAAGACCTATCTGCCAGGTAGTATGTTGAGGCTGTTGATACGACTTTCA